TTGTAGACATACAACTGTATTTTTTAATAGAATAGAATAGAAAATCATTTATTCAAATAAACTTCATTTAAACAGTTTTGAATAGTCATAACACTAGAAGTAATGTGTAATTTTTGTCTGCTTTTGTTTGTGCGGTCATTATAACCGGACATAATTTATTAAAAATCGATCTTAATAAGCGACATATCACTGACAATTTTATATGAAAACCAAATTTCGTAGTCTAATTACTTCACTATAATCGGTTGGTCATAGGCGTAGTCGTAATATACGGATTCTACTATTGTTTTCTACTTGACGGCCTCGGTGGTCTAGCAGTCTAGCACACCGCTTTACGACCGATGGTCGCGGGTTCGATTCCTCGCACGGCACAAACATTTGTATTCATGAGTATGATTGTTTGTATCGCTCTGGGTATTTTCTATGTATAATATGTATGTATTTACGAAAAAAAAATTATCTATGTATTTGTATCAGTTGTCTAGTACCCATAACACAAGCTTTAGTTAGCTTAACTTGGGTCTAGATGGCGCTGTGTGAATTGTCCTGAGATTATTATTATTATTATTACTGTAGCTACATGTGATGAAAAATGTAAATGTAATAAAAGAGCAACACGCAAGTTTCTTGCTCGTTCTTCTTGTGATGACACCTTTCCGAATGAGCGGTAGATTAAAAAAATATAATGACTATTCAATGTAAGTTTATTTTTTAATAAATGATTTTCTTTTCTATTCTATTCTATTCTAATGAATGCATATTAATAATGCAAACTTTATTAAAGTTTATCAGTTTCCAATGTAATAGATAATCTCAGGATGCATCTGCAATTGTCTTATATATATAATTCTCGTGTTACAATGTTGGTTATCACACTCCTCCGAAACGGTAGGACTGATTTTTATGAAATTTTATTGCATAGTAGGTCTGACAATCGCCTACTATCTTATTCTCATGACTCTAAGATAACGGTCGTCCACTACTAACATTGTTTTTTATTTTTGGACATAAAATATTTTTTTTTTTCCCAAACCCAAATAATTTTTTTTTTTAACCCCAAATTTTCACCCTTCTACCCTCAACCTATATTTTTTTAATAACGATTTTAATTTATATGGCAAAACAACGTTTGCGGGGTTTTAAAACAGAAATATAAATTCACACACAAAGTTTATTTCGTGTCGCCAGATTTGAACTGATGACCTCGGTTTAGTATTATATACCCTGAATTAAAGCTTAGACAGCCACAACATTCGATATAATCGTATAATTATAATGATGTTGTGGCATTTGTAAAGAGCGAGGGTAGAATTTCTTATCTTCTGTTTTTCTTGGCTTCAACTACTTTTAAAATAGATTTGACATATCACAAGGGTCTGCAAATACCATACGTGAATAAAGCTATTTTAATTTTAAACGGAACATGGTGGATGTTTGCACTAATTAATATGGATTCCGCCCAGCCTCTGTCCACGCTCCCAACCACCCCCCGCCCTGCACCCCATGGGGGGATGAAGTGTGGAGGTGAGCCGCGCCGTCTGGAAAGCGCCATAGCCATAATCAATATACTCCATCTCGCTCATACAGTTTAAGTCCTAGGTAAAATATAGTGCCTATGTAATTTAGGATTGTATGTGTGCATAACTCAATCGATGTTGCCTGCCCCACTCGTACGGATGAAGTTCTAGTTGAACGTTGGTGTCTATGTAATTTACTGCATGTGTGCAGAATACAGGATGTTTTCTAGATTTCATACATTTATTTAATATTGTACTTATTTACAGTATTTATTACGATTTGGTATGGAGAGAATATGTACCTTTCTTCAAAATTCAAAATTCAAAAATCATTTGTTCATGTAGGACATTTTAGCCGCTTAGGTATGAACGTCAAATTTTTACATTATAATTTTATTTTTTCCCTACCGTCAAAATCATTTGACGAAATTATTTTGGGTACTTTCATAAGTCTTACCTATATATAAACAGATTCAATATAAAATAAATAAAGTAGTAATAATAATAAATAAAAAAGTAATTCAATTGAGTTTCTTGCCAGTTCTTCTCAATTGGATCTATATACCGAACTGGATGGTAGGGAAAAAAAATTATAATGTAAAACCTTGACGTTCATAAGCGGCTAAAATGTCCGACATGAATAAATGATTTTTGAATTTTCAATTAAGAATATTTTCTTAAAAGCCAGTTTATTTATATTGTGTACTTATATAGGTGTCTATGTCTGACATTAAATAAAAAACCCGTGCATGAAGGAGTATTGACATGCACGTTTGTCATTCAGTGCTTAGTGAGTAATAGGGTTTGCTCAATAAATATGATATATTTAGCCTTTGGTATCTTATTGTAATTTTTTATACCCATTTCCATAAAAGACCCATAGACTTTTCCAAACGATACTTAGGATCAGCAAGTTTGTCTTAAAATCTAGTGTTAATGTTATGTATAAATTACAAGACAGTCATACCACATGCAGTAGTCAAAGTTTTCAACGCCACAGTGAAGACAAACACTTGCCATATCATATATATATATATATATATGTATATATATACAGCAATGTGTGGCCGGGTCTGTTAGTATTATATTTATATATGTATATGTTTACAGGTAGATTAGGTTCTAATTTTGCAATTGTAATCTATACATCTATATATATACATAAAATTGGAGTGTCTATTTGTAATATTGAAATAACATTTTTTACTATTTTTGTTTGTCTCTCTATTTGTTCCGGCTAATCTCTGAAATGGCTAGACCGATTTTGACGGGACTTCTCTTGGCAGGTAGCTGATGTAATAAGGAGTAACTTAAGCTACTTTTATTTTAGAAAAATAAAATAATATTCCACGCGGATGAAGTCTCCAATTTTATTTATATGTATAGATTTTTATAGCCATTATATGTCTCATGTCAGTAGATGCTCGCATTTGGTAAGATATTTAGTAATACAATATGATGATTGTATTGACTTTGTAGAATTTCTGTAACTAATTTTAAACGTTATGAAATAATTTGCCATTCCAATCCATTACTCATGTTTTAAATGGTATACGCATATCGAACTCGTTTGTATGTACTCATCTCATAAATAGATCGTCATTTGACCTTTCCTTAATATCATTCATACCTTTTTGTATATATATACAATAATTATTGTATGCTATCTGTACCTGCGACTTCGTCCGCGTGGAATATAACATTATTTTTCTAAAATAAAAGCCTAAATTACTCCTTATTACATCAGCTATCTGCCATAAAAGCCCCATCAAAATCGGTCCAGCCATTTCAAAGATTAGCTGGAACAAAGAGACCGACAGACAGACAGACAAAAATCGTAAAAATGTTATTTTGGTGTATGTACCATATTTATATTCATATGCAAGTAATTGAAAACGGTTATTTCAGTATTACAAACAGACACTCCAATTTTATTTATATGTATCGATAAAATAACCACAAAACCTATATTATAGACTATCTTTTGTGATGTCGTGATATATATATATCACGACATTGACACGACACGACATATATATTAAATTTCATTACGATCCGTTTAGTCGTTTAATCTTAAAAAGGCGTACAGGTGTGCATTTATTATTAACTAGCAGTACCGTAAAGTATCATCAAAATCTGTTCAGTAGTAATTGCGTGAAAGACGTAACAATCATTCATTCATTTATCTATCCATACTTCATTTTTCGCATTTATAATATTATATAATAAGATGTTTTTTTTATTATTTGTTAGGTACAACCGTTTTTAGCTTAGATTATTTCTGGAAGATGTGCCGTTCTTAGTATTTTTACTTTACGACCAGTGGAACCCCGAATATGTGACTCACGGACGAATGTGTGTGCAGATAATTTAACTAATTTAATACAATAGATTTGTCAAAGCAAATAATTAATAATTGACGACCTCGGTGCTCTAGCGGTCTAGCATACCGCTTTACGACCGATGGTCGCGGGTTCGATTCCTCGCACGGCACAAACATTTGTATTCATGAGTATGATTGTTTGTATCGGTCTGGGTATTTTCTATGTATAATATGTATGATTTACGAAAAAAAAAAAATTATCTATGTATTTGTATCAGTTGTCTAGGACCCTTAACACGAGCTTTAGCTAGCTTAACTTGGGTCTAGATGGCGCTGTGTGAATTGTCCTGAGATTATTATTAATATTTTCCCAAAAATGTATTATTATTATTATTATTATTAACTGTCGCTGAGTGTAAAGTACTGCTATTTTACAAGTTTTATACTATAGTATATTAAAACTTGAATATCTAGTTTGCGTTATGTAATTTAGAACATTATATTACTGTGTTAGTGTGATTAGAATTGGACTGTTTTTTATAATATTACAAACGATACCTAGCATATAGAAATAGAAATAATCTTTATTCAAATAAACTTAATGTAAGCACTTTTGAATTATTTAATCATATTTTTTATTCTACCACTCATTTGGAAAGCAAACTCATCACGAGCAGAATGAGTAAGCAACTTGTGTGTTGCTCTTTTAAATAAATGTGGTTTAAAGAAGATTTACATTAAATAAAGTTAAACTGCACGCGGACGAAGTCGCGAGTACAGCTAGTAGTACATAAGAAACAAACAATCATACTCATGAATGTAGATGTTTGTTTCTTTTCCGGAATTGAACTCGCGACCACCGGAAGTAAGGTGCGCTAAACCACTAGACCACCGAGGCCGTCAAATCATCATCATCATCATCATCATCATCATCATTTGCTTCTTCCTTATCCCATTTATTTGTGGTCGGCGTAATATGTTTTTCGCTTCCATTCATCCCTGTTCGCAGTCATCGCGTTATTTACTTCCTTTCTTACCATATCATCTTTCACACAGTCCATCCATCTCTTTTTCGGCCTTCCACTGCCCTTATAACCATCCACATTCATTACTTAAAATATAGGTAGTAATTTATTACATGCATAATTATTATGTTTCAGGATAGTGCTATTAGCATGTGTGGCCTGGACGAATGCTCGGCCGCAAGATGATGGAGAGGCGAGGGCTGCTCCATCCAGAGGGCTGCTTAAACGAGGTCTAGCTAAGGGCAAACAGACTACAACAACCACCACTCAAGCACCACAGGTAACCATAAATCTTTTTTTTAATACAACTATGTTTGCAAACAGGCATACGGCCCATCGGATGGTAAATGGTTACCGTAGCCTATGAACGCCTGAAACATCAGAGTGTACGTGCGCGTTGCCGACCCTTAAGAAACCTTAATATACCCTTCTTGAAAAACCCCATGCTGTAGTCTCGTGAGAAAACCTCGGCAGGTAGTTCATTCCACAATCTAACTGTACGTTTATTATCAGATGAAAAAATTGAATATAGCTGCAATGTCGATGTAGCCTACATCCATCTGATTTTATTAATTAAACTCCCATTCATGAATTTTGACTTCCGTAGGTGTGTTTATTCTATTAATACTATAATAATTTAATAAAATAAAATAGTTTTTATTAATAATTACTAAAAAATTTTAAGTTAACACTAAAAAATTAAGTATTTTTTAGTAATAACATCGTTTAATGAGATTATTATTTATTCAATTAATCCAACAAAAATTAAGCCATCGACTCGTCATAATATTGCAGAATAATGATTACGATGTTGTTTTGTAGAGACGATGTATATTACAGATGATAATAAACTGACAATATGTATGTACATCAAAATATTGATCTTATATACTAAATGACAATAGGAAAATGTAAGGTGGGGTGACACAGTTTAGACACGGCAGTGCTTAGTATACAATATTGGATTTGTCTCAAGCATTACCTGCAAGAATATTCATTAAGATACAAATAAAAAATCTTATCTATTATTATACTGCAGTAATTTAAGTTTAACGTATGTATTATATAATATTCGGTTTGATAAAGTATTATCACGTTACATTTTGATTTAGTAACCGCTCGTACGCCTATGTGCCTGCGGTTTCTTAAGTGACGACACTATGATGTATGTAATATGTCTTATGTATGTAATGTATATAATATGTTTATTAAAATTATATTTATATAATAATATCCTGCTAGGATATAACATACTCTAGCAGGTTATTACTATATTAATATAATATTAATAAACACGAAATTTTGTAAATATCGATGTTAGTTACTCTTTCACGCAAGAACTACTGAACGGATTTTCATAAAATTTTGCAGTAATATAGCTATTGCATCAGAATTACACATAGGCTATATTTTATACTTACTGTACACGTGACTTCGTCCGCGTGGAATCTAACTTATTACATCACCAATTTTAGAGATTAGCCGGAACAAACAGACAGACAAAAATTGCAAAAAATGTTATTTTAGTGTATGTACCGTATTTATATTGATATGCATGTAGTAAAAAACGGTTATTTCAATATTACAAACAAACACTCCAATTTTAATTATATGTATAGGTTGAAATTAAACGCTGGTAAATCCGGGGGCACAGCTAGTATTCTATGAAATAAACCTATAAAATAATCACAGTTTATAATCTTGTTTAGCTGATAATAATCATATATACAGATGCTAATCATGTATAAAAATAAAAAAAACATTGTTAAAAAAATTAATTGATTAATTGAAATAAATAAAAAAATATATTGTTGTCATATAGCAAAAGTAAAATGTTCAACGACAAAAGTATTTAGCACTTTTTTATTAGACAAAAGAATCGTTAACCCGCGAAGTAACATTTCGAAATAATAGAAGTTATAGTAATTAATAATAGAATAATAGACGTTACTGAATTCAGTCAAACTGTATTACATCATCAACCTCTTCCTTGACGTTGTTTATAACACTTGTTGGTAGACTGTAGGTAGTGACTATATCATATGCGGCAACACCTTTCTGTCTACATTGATGTTAGGTTGGGTTACAAAGCGATTTCTCACGACGATACGCCGGATGGGGCGTAGCACTACGTAATAGTTCCTTACTCAATTATATTGCAGCCTTACGATGTCTAAATAAAGGAATTTATTAGAAATCTTTCCACAATAATTAAAAATGTAATATAAAATGTTACGTCATGCTACAAACACACTTTTTGAGTGAAATCTTAATGTAAGTATGAATGTTTGTTACTTTTTACGCAAAGACTATTAAACGGATTTTGATGAAACTTTACAATAATATAGCTTATGCATCAGAATAACCGATAGGCTATATTTTATATTGAAATTTAACACGGGTGAAACCAGTAATATAGATTATACATTAGAATAAGATATAGGCTATGCTTTATAAGGATATTATGTTAATTGGGTGAAATATAATGATAAATGTTGCAAACGAAGTTGCAGGAGTCAGCTAGTATATTCGTATTTAAAGATGTGAACGTACAAATTTTATTATATAACAGACTATGACATATGGTCTCTTTATGTGGTAGGTATATACTGTATAGACAAGTATAGGTAAATAAGCAGTTGTTTTTTGTTTATGACTATTACGGTGAAATCAGCTAATCAAGTTGTCTACTCACGTACATTCTGAATAATTTGTTAGTACGTTATGCTTTCAAAAAAAACGTGACTCGATTAAAAGATTAGCATTTATAATTGTAAACAATAGTTGTATATACATACCAGTTAGTATACAGAGATATAAAAGTAAAGTAAACTTAATAGAATAGAAGAAAAACCCGTAATACAAATAAACTTACTTTAAGCACTTTTGAATAGTTTTTATAATCTACCGCTCATTCGGAAAGCTGTCTCATCACAAGAAGAATAAGCAAGAAACTTGTGTGTAGCTCTTTGAAATAATCCTTGTAAGTTCACATTTTTCAAGTCGTATCGTGTGTCGTAACACACTATCAACTGACACTAATTTATTAAGGTATAAATTCACAATAAGATTAAATCAGTCGTAATGATTAGTGCAGACCAGTCCCTACAAGCAGCACTCGTTCACGAATATGACGTATATAATAACATAGTATAAAATAAAGTAGCTGTCCCTATGTATGCTTAAATCTTTAAAACTACGCAACAACTTTTGAAGTGATTTTTTTAAATAGATAGATAGATTCAAGAGGAAGGTTTATATGTATAATAAATGTACATCCGTGCGAAGCCAGGGTGTGTAGCTAGTAACGTATATAATTGACATTGTATTCAATGTAAAAAGATGTTACCTATATCGTATTCAAAAATCGAGTTTCGCAAATGAGCCGTGGTAATATACATTTGGTTCAAGGCGGTTGGGACGCGAGGTTGAGTCTCAGGTCACCTTCGGGTGACCTTTCCGAGACCTTCCTTTCCTCTGAAGAATTTCTACCTGCACGCATACGATGTCAGTAATCTGAGACATTCATACATTGAACCGCTTAAGTTCATTGAATTCACACATTCAATATAAATACAAATAATATATCTCAGGACAATTCACATGACGTTCACAACACATATCACATTTTTATTCAAGCTTATTATAAAATTGAAGAATTTATAAATAATAATAATGTTTTTGTAGAAAATATCTAACTTAAAATTCATAGCGCTGACCATTTTATCTGAATGAATAGAGATTGTCGTATACCTAGTCCTTGTTGTTAATTAAATATAAGTAAATCAATATTTATTTAAAAGAGCAACACACAAGTTTCTTCTTGTGATGAATCTGCATTCCGAATAAGCGGTAGAATAAAAAAACTTGACCATTCAAAAGTGCTTATATTAAGTTTATTTGAATAAAGATTATTTCTATTTAATTTAAATTCAAATTTAAAAGTCATTTATTTATGTAGGACATTGCAGCCGCTTACGAACGTAAAAATTAAAATATATTCTTATTTTAATTTTTACCCTACCGTCCGTACCGTAGCACTAATTTATTAAGGTCAAATATAAATTCACAATAAGATGAAATCAGTGGTTGTGATAAGAGCAGACCAGTCCCTACAAGCAGCACTCGTTCACGAATATGACGGATGAGCCAGCCATCACTGCGCTTGACCATATTTTAGGGAGCCCAATGACCCGGCCCACCACGCCGCCACATGTCTGGACATTTTAGTGAGCTTGACTACTTATTCCACTCGACCTCGCCGGTACTGATAATAGCGAAATTTAGCCAATATTATTACTGTGATGATGGCCACTAGACCAACTCTGTCAAATAGTTGGTAACTCTCTATAAAAGAATTTATATTTTTATCAGTATAGTCAATAAAATCGTGATTTTTAATTTATAGGAGGAAGAATACGATGAAGATTATGCGGAAGGAGAATCTGAGCCTTCAACGCAGGCGCCACCCTCGTCCACAGAAGGCAAGAAATTAATTGGTGGAGGAGTCCGACCTTTCAGAAGCAATACTGATTTGCTTGAGATCCTTAAAAGAAAGAGGGCGCAGGCGGCTGAAGGTATATACTTTGTTTGTTTTATTCCAAAACTAAAACAAAAGAATAAAGAATCCAATGTATTATAAGTAGGTCTATTACAGACTCTTATGATATGTCAAATATACCATCAGTTCGGAATGATATCGAGATAAGAAGAACTGACAAGAAACTCAGCTCGTATTCTTTTCAAATAAATGTTGAACATGTTTACAATAATTTAGATTCATTTTTAAATTCAAATTTGGGAGAATATAGTGACCTCTAGTATATGCTATTGCAAAAGCAAATAGTCTAACCAGTATTCGTACGAGTTCTCACAAGCAGCACCCGTTCACGAGTATGACGGACGAGCCAGTCATCTTTGATCTCAACCATATTAGAGGGGGCACATTGACCCGGCCCATTTCTTATAAGATATATCGTTTAAATGATTAAATAAGTAACAATTCAGTTAATTAACAAAGTAAACTGGTAATTGGAGGGGAAAGGATTGTTAGTAATGTGGATTATCTTATTGCTAACAATGTACAATGTCAGGTTGACCTCCACGCGGTTCCCCCTAGAAATCATCGTGATAAATTCTTGGTGAATTTGTCACAATGTGCTAACTGACCTGACCTCATGCTCATCTTATCATCCTCCACTGGTGCCCCGCCAGCGTAAACCGTTAGCGCAGGCGGGTACGCCATTCCATTATCATCTATAAAAAAAATAGTGATTTCGATAATAAAAGGTATAGGTATTTACTTCATAAAAAAAATTTGGACAATTGCGGTGTAGGTACAGTAACGTTGAAAAAATTGCTTACTTTCCTATATTTGATGTCAGTACCTAATGTTGTGACAGTAGAACGTAGCCAATTGTAAAAAGGAATAATTATTAATAATAATAAATAAATAACCCTGAACAATTAACACAGCTTCTTCTTCCGGGCTGCGATGATGATGATGATGAATTAACACAGCGCCATCTATAACCAGAGCTTGTGTTAAAGATACTAGACAACTGATATAAATACTTATATATTTAATACTCGTATGTGTACATAGAAAACACGCAGACCGATACAATCATATTCATGAATACAATGTTTGAACCGTGCCCGTACAGGAATCGAACCCGCGATCATCGGAAGTAAAGCGATGTACTAAACCACTAGACCATCGAGGTCAATAATATCATCCATACAAATAATCAATAAATTAATTAATTATTTTATTTCCAGCTAAACTGCACGGACAATCAAGCTCTGTTGCCGCCTCGTCACAGGATATCGTAACAGAAGCGCCTGCAAAATCTAGTTACAGTAAGTTCCATACATCTTTTTTGTTACAAACAGACAAAAAGAACATCACATTTTCATATGACGACCTTTATACCACTCTTTGTCATTCCGAACAACTAATGAGGGCGTTGATAAACTACGTGATGTGTTTTTTTGAATTTTTGTTCCAACAAGAAAAAAAAATTGCGTGATATTTGCCGAGACCCAAGACTTCAACGTTAGATTAGATGAGATTTGATTGGACCCCCTCCCGGCCTTAAACATGACACGTGTTTTATGGACGCCCCCTAATAGATCATGCTTCATATCCTGTATTTTCATTTACTCATTAGTTTTTTACAAAATATATTTTGATAAAGTATGTAATAAATATTTTTTGATTTAAGGTAAAAAGCGGTTCAACGGTCAACCAGCCAGAGAGAGTAATAATGAGGAGGCACCGGCAACCTCTAAACCTAGTAGAAATCGTTTTGGACGACGTAAGTTGCATGCAAAATATCTTAATATTAATTATATTTTCTATTATAAACGTGAAAGTTTATAAGTATGGAAGTTTGTTACTCTTTCACGCAAAACTACTGAACGGATTTTGATAAAACTTTACAGTAATATAGCTTATGCATCGGAATAACATGAGGCTATACTTTTTATTAAAATGTAGATTGTATATATTTAAATTCAACGCGATTACTGCTAGTAACCAAATATATTTCTCTGTGCTGTACCTTTTTCTATAATATTATCTGTTCATGTTCCTACAATACCCATACACTACCACTACTTCCCTTTAAAGAAAGTATTATCATCATCAATTTTTATGTTTACTTTGTTAGTGGTAGTTTAGAACTTAACTTAATGTGCTATCATCGTCGTTGATCGCATATTGTATTATTTTACTGATAAAGGCTATAACAGAATAGCAGAGAGGGTGGACTCACTGCCCGCACTGAGTTATAGACCGTTTTGTCTCCTTCATTAGTTTTAAATTATATACAACAATTATATTAGTTTTTGTTTGAGACTAATATAGATTATTTTTATTATGTATATAGGTACATTATTTCTCAGCTATAATTGTTTTTTTTAGAGACAAGGACGGATATTATTATTATTATTATCTGCTTCTTCCTTACCCCATTTCTCTGTGGTCGGCGTAATATATTTTTCTCTTCCATTCATCCCTGTTCGCAGTCATCTCTTTATTTACTCCCTTTCTTACCATATCATCTTACACACAGTTCATCCATCTCCTTTTCGGCCTTCCTCTGCCCTTATAACCACACATATATATGTAACAACTTCCTTAAAAATCTATCTGTTTATACAAATTATTGTACCTTATTTCACTTCTTTCAAATTATTTATTGTAGTGATAAAAGAAAGCCCTTTTCGTCTAACTTAAGGACAATTCATTAAGATCCGTTCTATATATAAGCTATTTAATCTAATTTAATAGTTTAGTCATTTAGTTTAATTGATATATTAAAGACATTTTTGTAAGCTATTAAATTATTATCTGTTACGGGAGATTTCCTGTTTTTTTTTGTTTCTGTTGAGATGAAAGATTACCCATGTCTGTCTTGGTTATACAATTTATCTTCACTTCAAACTTTATTGTTTACTCGTTAAAATCCGCCTTACTTTTGATGATCGCAACATTGTATTAGTCAGCGTTTGGAATTGATGAGGGATGTAATTATTCTTATTATATGTTAATTTTCATCATTTCCATGCAATATCATTACTATGTACATTTGCTTATATTAAATATTGGTGTTGTACCTATTTAATCAATCAACTTACTTTTTCCAGCTTCATTGAGATCTGCATCAGAGCCAGAGCCAGAAGAACAAAATGAACCAGCCGCTCCCCTTTCAAGAGGTGGCAGAACATTCCCAACAAGGCGAGGCAGCAACTAATATCTTCAATCTTCTTCAATATCACTTCGAAAATACTCTTTAGTATCCTATTGAGGATCCAATACAATATCAATAAGATATTCAATATAAATCTCTGGCGTATCGTTACAATTATTAAATAAGATAAGTAATAACTTAATTTATTTATCTTAGATCTTAAACCATTTAATTATCTGCCTGGTGCCTATAAAACACACTTTACAAATGTGACAAATAAATAGTATGTATTTAACATTACAGTAAGATGTTATGTTAAGTATTTATTGCAAGATATAAAAAGTGGCTGACATTTAAATCTCGTTTTTAAAAGTGTTATTCTCCAACTGGTTTATTAGTTGGAGATTATCTGACTATTTTTTGTAGAGGACATAATATTTGTTTTCATTATCATAGATTCTATATTAAAAGTGTGGATCACGATAAAAGTAAACCGAAACGATAACGCTATGAGACTTGTTTGATAAGAATGGTACCTATTTAGACTCCAGACAATTTGTATTTGTGAAAGAGAAATAGGTAGACCATGGCCATCGCATATACTGAATTGCCATCAGAAATGCTTGTCTATAAATTAGAAAGAATTTACACTTACTACTTTTGTAAATTATAAGTATTTTTATAATAAATATTTTTTATAATAAATCTTATCTTTTATTCACTGATGTATGTAAAAATGATAAAAAACTACTTTAATTATTTATATTCTTATAGTACTTTTTGCAGAATTACATATACTATTATTTAGTTGTAGTAGCAAATATGAAGAAATAAAATTACTTGATTTTTCTTACATAAAACTCAGATTATATAGTTAGAAATAGAAATAATCTTTATTTAAATTAACTTAAAATAAGCACTATTGAATAGTCAAGTTTTTTTATTCTACCGCTCATTCGGAATGCAGACTCATCATAAGAAGAATGAGCAAGAAACTTGTGTGTTGCTCTGTTAATCCTATATTAATAATACTTGTATATTATAGTATTTCAGTTGTCAATAATTAATTTAAAGGTAGAAATAATGGAGTAGAAATAATAAACAACATTTCGGATACACAGTTTTATTTCTATAGATAGGTACCATATATAGGTTCGTAATCGGTAGAACATTGTAAGACATTATGTGTTAATAAATAAGTAATACTTAAAAGTTAAGAAGACAAAATATAATAATCCCTGCATTCAAGTGATATTTAATTGCGATGACAAAGGTATATACTTAGGTACGAGTATATAATATATCTACTTATTGTCTTGGGATTGAGAACGACCTAAATAATACAAGTAAGATTCACAGTAGAAATAATAATTAATAATACCTAATTGATTTAAAACATTCTTGATTTCTGTCCAGATTTTTATTTTAATAAACTAATTTTATATAATAATAGTGAAAATATCAGAAAACAACTTATAAGACAAAATAGAAAGAATAATAAGAGAGTCGTAACAGTATACGCAGATACTTTGGTAATTTAGTAATAGTGTTCACCTACTAACCTTTACAATACCTATCCAACTAACCTATAATAAAATGGGTTGAAGAAATTGCGAGTAATGGAGACTATTGGTCCCATTGCTTGCAATCCTGGTCGACCTTTAGATGGTCCGCCCTAAAAACCAGGAATTAGTCCAAATAGGCCTAAGTAACACGCAGGCTAACCTGTGAATGTAATTGTGATAAAATCTAAAACGCACCTAATATATATGTGTAAAGTCGAAAATCATATAAAAAATATATTTTTGGCCTTTTTAATTAATTTCCTGTAATATTTAAGTTCGAATAATATTTTATCGTTTGACACGTTAATTTAATTTAATTTCGATTGCCTTTAATAGTAAGACTTCTATCTTCTTTCACTCGTTCTTTCACTCCACTGGCGCCCCGCTACAGCCGCAGCTTAGACAAGGGTCACCATTCCACTCAAAATTACCCTAACCGTCTTATTTAAAAAAATCACACAAGTATCACTTTATATTATACGAGTAAATATTAATTTCGTGTTCATAGGCAAGAAGGGTAGAGTTAGGGATACAACCTACAGTATGTTTATCTCACTCGTTGTGGATAATAGCAATAGTTTAATACATATGCCATGTACTGAGACTACATTAGGATCTTTTGTTTCAGATCTAATGCATTTTATTGATGTTTAAATAGACACTTAACACACAACATTTATGAATTTCTGATCTCCGTGTAGGGATAGAAATTTAAACTCCGGCTGTTTACTTGCGCAGGATACGAGTAATCTCAGCGATTGGAGTAGCAAACGTGCCTGGTTTGACCAGATTCACAATTTGCTCCGCGATCTCCTCTCCCACGCGTATTTGGGCTTCTTCAGTCGATGCACCTGTATAATGAACAAGTCATTGATTATTAAGTTGTTTCGATCAATTTTTTTTTTTATTTATTTATAATTCATTATTGACACAATATTAAAAAAATATTTCTAAATCTATATAAATATATATCGCCGAGAAAAAATAGAAATAGGTCATTTTTCAATATTCGAAGCTCGTATTGCCTCCTTTTATATGAGTCAATTAAATTAGCCACGCTGTCTTAATCATAATCTAAACACTTTTAATATGATATATTATACTTCTGGGAAAATTAAAAATTATAAAATAAAAAAAAAAAACTTTAATTACCTGTTTTGAAAAAAAAATTACATTTTAAATATTGCCATTTTTCTATTTAATCGAAAAACAATACATTAAAGAAACAAGGTACTGAAGGCGGTTTGATCTCTAACGCAAACTCTTCCAGACAACCTTAGGAAACAGAGTATTAATAAAAATAATCTATTCGATTTTATTGACCATAGTCTGCCCACCCTGCAGCTTCACCGGCCAGATGAAGGACATGTTGTTTGAGGGTTGCGTTCTTTGAGTTGGCATAACTTTATGTCACATTATTATTTCAAATTAGGCATTAAATGAATAATTGAAATAAATTTCATTCATATCTACTTAATGCTACACTTTTACTATCTTCCAGTGATCACACAATCTTCTGAACGATATATAAGCTTCATATAAAATATATATTTATAATTCAACTACGTTCCTTGAGGGGTCGTAGGTTGTATGTATTTTTAATGCCATATTATGGAAAAATATAATAAAAATGTTGTCCAATAATTAAAAAAAGTTATGGGTTGTCAACCCTTATCACTTAGGAGTATAAAAAATAGATAGCCGATTCTCAGACCTACTGAATATGCATATAAAATTATGGTACCTAACATTATATGTTAGGTACCATACTCTTATATCTCTCTCTCATAATTATATACATAAGAATTTTATATATAAGATTAATTAGTATTTTGTAAGTATACTTACCCAGATGAGGGGTGCACAGTACAGCAGAATGCTGTACGATCAATAGAGTCACGGGATCAATTGGAGGCTCGCGTTCAAAAACATCCAGGGCTGCCCCACTAACCTAGTGTTGAAATATAACAATTTATACATATAACTGACTAGCTAACCCACGCAACTTCGTATGCATTATTATTGACAATTATATTTTGCCTAATTTACAGAATTTCTTATTAACTTTAACCTATGTCTTTTTTCTGACGTATAAACTACATTACTTTAAAGTTCCATCAAAAACCGTTGAGTAGTTTTTTTGAAAGAGTAACAATTATCTATCCATACTCACAAACTTTCACGTTTGTATTATTATGAAGGTACACAAAAACAATATTACATGCAGGCAAATCAAAAATCAACATTGTTGTTATTTTTATTGGATTGTATGGGCTATAGTCAGGTGCTTGGACCTGTAGCACTGCGACCTACATATCTATTGTGCTCTCTCTTTTTCAGAGTTCGTTATCTTCCGTTAGGAACAAGAATTGAAGGATATTCTTAGGAGAGAGGATTATCACTGCCCTCATATTTGGCGACGGTAGCTCTTAGAGCTCTTACATTCAGGTGAACCGTTAGCTATGTTAGCTAGCTATGTTTTCTATGTATAATATAGTATTTACGAAAAGAAATGTATTTGTATCAGTTATCCCTAACATACAGTTACGATTACCCATAACAGAAGCTTTTAACTTAACTTGGGTCTAGATGGCGCTGTGTGAATTGTTCTGAGATTATTATGTTATTATATGTGTTAACGAAAACTAAATTCCATTCCATTCCATTCAGAAAGTAGTCAATGGTCTTAGTAAAAATTTCAACCTCACATTAACCTATACACGGTAGACCAGCCAGTAAAATAATTGAATACATATGTATTTTTTTAGTAATAAGTATAGTATAAGTAAGGAGCCAACAGAATATCAGCGCTGCAGAGTTATCTGTAGCATTATGCTGAGTTGGCTGCCTTTTCACTTTTGCGGTACATAAAGTCACCTACATTTCTTTTATTAATTCTTGTTTTTTTCTGTATCTTATGTATGTTATGTGCCTGTATGTTGTTGAAAAAAGAATTTATCTATCTATTTATCTAATTTAAGGCTATGGTTCGGGATTAGCACCAGATCCTGGTTCAGAACAGCAGTGGACAAAATTTAGATTGCCAGTATGATCGCCAACCGGTAGGAGGCGTCAAATAAAGAAGAAAATAGGATATATGGACCACAGAAGAAGACTATTTTAGAAACTAAACTTACCAGTCCGGAGTTGAGACCGTCCAACAGGTCTTGCTCGTTGATGAGTCCTCCACGACCCACATTAATGATCTTCACACCTTTCTTGCATTTACGTAAGACCTCAGCGTTTATCAGATCTACAAAACGAATATTAAATTTTTATTTGTAAACCACATTTTCAAAAATTAAAAATATTAACTTTACCATCTATTTATATATATTGGAGATAGCTATATTTGTTCAAGATCATTTATCATATTTTAATTTTAAAAGTAATAATAGATTAAAAAGCCGACTAGCACTACCAGAAATTAAGCAATGTTTTGGGCAAGTCCCTATTACCGATTCTTTGTAATATATAACAAAATCCCGAAAATCATAAAACAAGAAGTTAAAAATAATTTAAAAGGCTTAAAAAATTACTGACCTAAGTAGACACTAGAACCAACTTACATATTAAATTTCATTTTGGGAAAGAGTCATCTACGAAATTGCTATACTCTTTAAACAGAGTTCATGTTTGTATTGTTGATTTATTATATTTAAATTTATGTATATACATGTGCAATTATGAATTTTATAAATTGTTTAAGCTTTTTAATTTCAGGTTCTTAGTTGTACAATTAAGTTATATTAACATTAGAAGATATTAAATTTGTAAATATTGGACTTGTTTGTACATGTTTAAAAACATTAATAAAAAAAAATTGAATAAATAAATAAATATTATTATTAGTCTATTATTTGATACTAGCCGTGCCCGCGGTTTCACTCGCATTAAATTTAACGCCTATATGGTATTCGGATGTATAAACTATATTACTGTAGACTTCGATCAAAATCCGTTTAGTAGTTTTTGCGTACATGTCGACTGTTTTAAATTTACCGTCTCTGCCTGATAATACCTTTTGGACACACAACTCAATCTCCTACTTGCGAGAGTCTCAGCCCTTTGTACTCGTACCATTTCCGCTTAGGTCACATTGCATATTATTATAATTCTCGACCATGTATAGTTCGTTGTTTATATCATTAGCAAATATTCCAGCAATTTATTGTTAGCAATCCAGAGCCAATATGCCACAGCGACCATCGTTTTCGACGAAGCATCGCAAAACACAACTGAAGGTTTGTATAAAGCGATGCAATCTGCAGGTATTCTGTAAGCTCGACTGAAGAGACTAGTTATTCAGTGCGCATGCACCGAGAGCTTGCATTTCGCTCGCACCTGTCTTGCGTGCACTGTTATCATTTTATACAAGTGCGTAATAACTGCGCAAGCGCATTATGTTTATCCAATATTATTTGATAAACATAATGAAATCTATAAATTTAACTGTTTGAAATATTACTATTTTCAATAATATTGCTGTTATTTCGTCATCTTAATTTTTATACAGATTTCCATCTTGAAGTACGATTTTCCTAATTTTCTCAATGACATCTATTTTATTGGAGATCTTTGGGGGAGGCCTATTTCCAGCAGTGGACGTTTTCCGGGCTGCGATGATGATGATGATGATCTATTTTATTTGCTCCAAATGGTAGCATTAGCATTATGTGATACAGACGAATAATAAGATGTATGCAAATATTGGAATTAATATAATAATTATTTTAATACAATATATCATTAAATTTAATCGATAGCATGACGTTTCGATTATGCTCCCTAAAATATGACCGAGCACAGTCACAGCTGGCTCATCCGTCATACTCGTGAACGAGTGCTGCTTGTAGGGACTGCTGCTCTTATCACTACGACTGATTTAATCTTATTGTATATATATTTATATTTGACCCAAAAAAATTAGTGCTGGTTGGTAGTTTGCATTCACACGTTTCGACTTGTAAATGTAAACTTACAAGGATTATTTATATGAGCAACACACAAGTTTCTTGCTCGTTCTTCTTGTGATAAGACTGCTTTCCGAACGAGCAGTAGATAAAAAAAATTGTTATGACTATTCAAAAGTGCTTAAATTAAGTTTATTTGAATAAATGATTTTCTATTCTATTCTATTATTTCACAAGAGTTTTACCTACCGATGTTTGCGTAGAGGTCTTTAGTAATATTTTTAACTTATTACAATCGGGTAACCGGTCCATTATCTAAATTTAGATAACCGACACATTGCTTCTTTATTACATGTATCACTGAGTTCATTAATAAATAGTTTATGTGCGATCACGATATACATATATTGTAACTATATTTAACTAACTTTGTATACTGATGATACAAAGTTAGTAAAACATATACCTCGGTGGTCTAGCGGTCTAGTACTCCGCTTTACGACCGATGGTCGCGGGTTCGATTCCTCGCACGGCACAAACATTTGTATTCACAAGTATGATTGTTTGTATCGGTCTGGGTATTTTCTATGTATAATATGTATGTATTTACAAAAAAAATCTATGTATATGTATCAGTTATCTAATACCCATAACACAAGCTTTAGCTAGCTTAACTTGGGTCTAGATGGCGCTGTGTGAATTGTCCTGAGATTATATTATATTATATTGATGAATGATTTTATTAATTTCACAGCTTCTTCACTCAGGGACTCGGATAAAATCTCTTTCGTTGTATAAAAATGTATGTTAGTACATTTTAATACCAATACGTTGGGTAACTTAAGAGATGATAATGTATTTATTTAAATATATCCAACGTTAAAACATTTACAAGTTGCCTATAAGATAGTACAGGGAGACATTACTGATTCTTTATCCAAGCTGTATACATTTTTATACTATACATAACTAACTTAAAACTTAATAATAAATTTAAATATAATAAATCAACAATACAAACATGGACACTGTTTAAAGAGTATAGCAATTTCGTAGATGACTCATTCCCAAAATGAAATTTAAAATGTAAATCTGCTGTAGTGTCTGCTTAGCTCCTACAGTACGTCTGTTAAAAATTATTTTACTGTATAGTAAGCTTTTTCGGTCAGTAAGAAGCCTTTTTTTTAATAAATTAACTTTACCTTGTTGTTTTAGTTTCCTATATCTATCGTTTATAGCTATCTCTAATATATAAATATATGATAAAGTTAATACTTTTAATTTTAATTAATTAATCACATAATATAATACAATTTATTGTTAAACATTTAAATTTGCAAGTCTACTCACGGGCAGAATACAGAGAAACTGTTAAAATTACCATTCGCCATCCGTGTACTATAGGTACACGGATGGCAAATGGTATATTGGTAAGACCAAGCGCAATCCCATTATTAATAAATAAATAAAAAAATTCAGCAGAATGAAGTGATTTCTTTATTAATCGTAACTAACTTACGAAACTTCAGTTGTAAAAAATACAGGCATCAAACTATAGGTCATTTCCGTAACTGTTAATATCCACTAGGTGTACCTTGCTTGCTATAAAAGTTTGTATAAAAAGTCGGTACTACTATATAAAATACTTACTTTTAGTCTTCTCAACAAGGGGAGTATGCAGAGTGATGTAGTCCGCGATGGGCCACAACTCATCCAGCTGCACCTTAGTGGTGTTAAACTCCTCACACTGCGCGGCTGAGAGGAACGGGTCCACTCCAATTACCTATATTAAATACATGAATAATGTTAAATATTCTTAAGTATACCGTAGCTGGAACAATCTTAAATATCTCATGTCGTTCAGAAGCGAAAGTAGCAATACATTCACAGGACCATCTCCACACCATATTTCGCTAAGCATATGCTACCGAAACAGGCCTTTTTGTTTACAGAACGTTCGCATCTGCTACTTTCTGTCGCAATATAACCCGTACAATCTATAAAATAGTTTATTTTCATATGTTAACTATAAGAAAATAAACTATATATACTCGTGAATATTCATTCGCGTGCCTTGTTCTCTGAACATTCCTTGATGTACCAATACCAACCATCATGCCGAAAGCATTCATCCGGGTAGCCACTTGTCTACCAACACGACCAAGACCGATGACTCCGAGAGTCTTGCCATGGAGTTCAGTCCCCGTGTACTTGGCCCGCATCCATTGCCCGTTCTTGAAGTCAGTAGCAGCTGGGGCGATGTGCCTAGCCAAGGCCAGCATCAGCCCGCAAGTAAATTCCGAAGCACTAAGTGCGTTTGCTCCCGGTGCGCTGCAAATAGTGTAAAGGTTTTCTTGAATTAAAGTAACAAGCCTGGAATTTAATATACTTGAAAACTTAGTATTGATATTATTAAAAACAAAAGGAAAAATAAATAAAAATAAATAGGGTCAGTTAGAATAACCGTTCGAATTTCCATATACTTTGTTTAATGTTTCGACGTATATATAAATGTCGAAACGTACATATGTACGTCGTTACATCGTCGTCGTACATACATGTTTAAGCTACAGAAAATCGTATATATAGAATTCTCGTGTCACAATGTTAGTTACCATACTCCTCCCAAACGGATTGCACGATTTTTATGAAATTTTATTTGCATTTTCAGTAGGTCTGAGAATCGGATATTATCTATTTTTCATACCCCTAAGTGATAAATTTGTCCACCCCTAACATTATTTTTAAAATTTTTGGGAATGGTTTTTTATTATGTGTCATTAAAAATACATAGAACCCTAAATTTCACCCTTCTATCACCAACCCCTATTTTTTTATAGCGTTATTAATTTATATGGCAAAACAACGTTTGCCGGGACAGCTTGTATATAGTATACTTATCTCTTTACGGTATTAAACAACAAACGAAATATTTTTTCTTTCAAACAGCTAAATATTTGAAGTAAGTGTATATTTCATGAAATATGACACCATACGAAGGTCATTCATTTTACAATAGAAGCATTTTATTTATATATGTTGCATTGCACAATTATCATATAGTAATTACTATATATTAAGTATGTGACTATGTTTGCGAATTAATTTATACACAAACATAATATATTTCCTTTCAGTCATCGCAACGTGGAAAAGTAGTTATGTTGTATAACTTATATAATGATTAATAATAGTTATATATTATAGTACGATGCAGTTAGTTATTAGTTTTAGTGAATATTTTAGTTATACATTATAGTACGAGGCAGTTAGTATTAGTTTTAGTGATTATTTTAAAAGAAAACTATTCTATACATATAAACAAAATTGGAGTGTCTGTTTGTTATATTGAAATAACCGTTTTTTATTAATATGAATGTAAATAAGGTATACACCAAAATAACATTTTTTACCATTTTTGTCTGTTTGTCTATCTGTCTGTTTGTTCCGGCTAATCTCTGAAATGGCTGGACCGATTCTGACGGGACTTTTTTTGGCAGGTAGCTGATGTACTTAGGCTATTATATTTAAAAAAAATCTTTTTTTTTTTAAAAATAATGTTAAATTCCACGCGGACGAAGTCACGAGAACAGCTAGTCTTCTATATATCTATCTAATCGTCTATGCTACACACTGCTACTATTAATAAATGTTTATTAACGTTTTTATTATCTTTACATAAATTCTTTATAATGCGAAAACTAACTGTATATCTGTCTGTGTATCAATGATTAAAGAAATTCAATTGAGTTTTGAATTTCTTGCCAATTATTCTCAATTGATATTGTATAGCGAACTGGACGGCAGGGAAGAAATATTAATGTAATAAATTTGACATTCATAAGTGGCTAAAATGTCCTACATGATTATTAACGTAGGACATTTTAGCCACTGAATGATATTCGATTTGATTTCATTGTTGTATCTCGTATTCTTGTCAATAATTAACTCTTTCGACATTTTAATTAGGTTGCACTTGTAGTGTCCAATTATTATGTCCACTAAAACATATCTGTGAAAACCATATTCTTAATTATATGTCATTTAATTGTGCGTTACATTCATTCATTCAAAAGACAAGAGCACAGCTCTTAAATTATGACTGGATGAATGAAACGGACGGACAAATAGACAAACATTCTAAAAACCAAATTTGTTATCTCATTACTAAACAGCAGAACATCATAACTTTTAATTTAGACGAAATTAAAAACAAATTAAGTAATGACTTCATTATTGATAAAATTCTAGACTTATATGTACGACAAGCTGTTCCCGCGACTTAGTCCGCGTGTTATTTAACTTTATTTTTCTAAAATAAAAGTAGCCTAAGTCACTCCTTATTACATTAGCTATCTGTCAAAAAAAGTCCGGTCAAAATCGATCCAGCCATTCCAGAGATTAGGCGAAACAAACAGACAGACAAAAAAAAAATGGTAATTGGTGTATGTACCGCATTTATATTCATATGCATGCAGTAAAAAACGGTTATTTCAAAATTAGAAACAGACATTCCAATCTTATTTATATATTATACTATCTGTTCCGGCAAACGTTGTTTTGCCTTAAATTAAAAAAAAAAATAGGGGTGGACTACCCCTAACATTTAGGGGGATGAAAAATAGATGTTGGCCGATTCTCAGACCTACTCAATACGCTCACAAAATTTCATGAGAATCGGTCAAGCCATTTCGGAGGAGTATGGGAACGAAAACTGTGACACGAGAATTTTATATATCAGATAAATATAATATATTATATTCATATATATTTATATATTATAAGTTATAACTGCAATTAAATAAATCATTTAACTCGTATGGTAAATATAAATCGTAAATTTCGTGGTAAGGACTGCACTGCCTGCACCCAGAAAGACGTCCCCCTTTTGTTTCTTACAAAGTCTTGCACATTTTTTTCAGTAGATCCTTACTAATATTCAACGACCTCGGTGGTCTAGTGGTATAGAACACCGCTTTACGTCCGATGGTCGCGGGTTCTATTCCTCGCACGGCACAAACATTTGTATTCATGACTATAATTGTTTGTGGGTCTGGGTGTTTTCTACGTATAATATGTATGTATTTACGAAAAAAAATATCTATGTATTTGTATCAGTTGTCTAGTACCCATAACACAAGCTTTAGCTAGCTTAACTTGGGACTAGATGGCGCTGTGTGAATTGTGCTGAGATGATTATAATTCGTCGTTTAAATAGAAAAACAGCAATATTCAAAATGTACATTTTTTATAAGACACGCCTTTAAAGTTTTTTCTTTAATTCAATTGAATTATTTTCACCTTTAAAGTTTTAAATTTACACATAATTATTAAATATCTTTTTAAAAGTATTTAGATAATGATTAAGACGGCGTGGTTAATTTAATTGACCTATATAAAAGCAGGCAATTCTAGCTTCTAATTTTGAAAAAAGTCATTTTTCTATTTAATCGACGAAATGTGAAAGTAGGTATGTTTGTTACGCTTTCCGCAAAAACGACTGAACCGATCATCATGAAATTTTGTTTACATTTTCTTGGAGGTACTAGAATGATCATAGGACACTTTAAAAAAAAAATAAAAAAAAAATATATCAACATTTTGCTACTTCAGTACCGTATAGCAGCCAGTAAATTATTTAATGCCGATAATATTAAAAGTTAATATATAACAAATAATAAATGTTAGTTTCTTCCTGTTCACCCTGCCGCTCTGCTCTCTCTTTAGGCCTGTTAAAGAGCTAGGTATCTAGGTACTAACTTGATAACTGCGATCCCTTTCTTCCCTGCTGCAGCCACGTCGATATTATCAACGCCGGCGCCTGCGCGAGCAACCAGCTTCAACTTGGTACCAGCGTTAAGTACCTCCTTGGTTACCTGAGAGGCCGACCTCACTACCAAACCATCGTGGTTCTAAATAGCAAGAAGAAACAAAACGGATATTTACTACATGTACTAGAATATCCAATAATATATAACACTTTGACAGTAGATGTATTTAATTATCTATACATATAAATATAATTGGAATCTGTTTGTAATATTGAAATAACCGTTTTTTACTACATGCATATGAATATAAATACAGTATATTATTAAATTGTTAAATAAAATTAGCCCAAATTACTCCTTATTACATCAGCTACCTGCCAATAATAGTCCCGTCAAAATCGGTCCAGCCATTTCAGAGATTAGCCGGAACAAACAGTCAGACAGACAAAAATTGTAAAAAAAAATGTGATTTTGGTTTAAAAAAAACGGTCATTTCAGTGTTACAAACAGACACTGATTTTATTTATATGTATAGATTAATTAATAGAATATTTTAGATAAAGAGCAATACTTACACCGATTTCCTTCAGCAATTCGTCGCTAGTTATTTTAGCTTTAGTAACATTCGGGATGCCGTGGGATGTCAGAATTTTGGCACAGTTCTGACCTACACCGTCCACTATTAGGACTGACTTGATGTCTAACCCCATTTTTAATCTGTCAATAAAAAAATTTTAATACCAAAGAAATAAAACACTTGTATTGCGACCAATTTGGTTTACCAGACACCTCTTTTTATGGATGACAATGGAATGGTGTTCTCGCCTGCTAACGGTTTACGCTGGCGGGGCAACAGTGGAGGATGATAGATGAGCATGAGGTCAGGTCTGTTAGCCTATCGTGGCAAATCTCTAGGATTTACACGACGGTTTCCAGGAGTAACTGCGTGGAGGTCAAGCTGTCAAGGTACATTGCTGGCAGTAAGATTATCAGTCCACATTACTAACAATTCTATTTCCCCTACTAGATACCTTAGCATGTAGAAGAAAGCAGATATACTGGACTAGCAACACGTATAACCCTATCATAGAAATGGCAAAATGTCGGCTAACTTACACATATTTATAAATATAAAACTATTAATTCCCTTAACTTCATACAAACGCAAGATATGTATGGCGCAGGTATTAAATTTTAGAGAATAAGATATCATGTTTTTCATTTATATTGTTATGTACATTACTCACTTATATATACATAAAAAACTTGAAATATCTTTGAAGATATCTTTATATATAAGATTTTTTTTAAATGTATATATTACAGATTTAAGAAATGTAAAACATGGTATCGAGACAACGCAACTAATTTTCTAGGTTCGCGGTTACTAATATCGAAGGTAACTAGTATCGGAGATAACTGGTATCGGAGGTAACTAGTATTGGAGGTAACTAGTATCGGAGGTAACTAGAATTGAAGGTCACTAGTATTGGAGGTAACTACTATTGGAGGTAACTAGTATTGGAGGCAACTAGTATCGGAGGTAACTAGAATTGAAGGTCACTAGTATTGGAGGTAACTACTATTGGAGGTAATTAGTATTGGAGGTAACTAGTATCGGAGGTAACTAGAATTGAAGGTCACTAGTATTGGAGGTAACTACTATTGGAGGTAACTAGTATTGGAGGTAACTAGTATCGGAGGTAACTAGTATTTGAGATAACTAGTATTGGAGTGCCTAGTATTGGAGGTACCTAGTATTGGAGGTAACTAGTATCGTAGGTAACTAGTATCGGAGGTAACTAGTATTGGAGGTAACTAGTATTGGAGGTAACTAGTATTGGAGGTAACTAGTATTGGAGGTAACTAGTATTGGAGGTAACTAGTGTTTGAGATAACTAGTATTGGAGTGCCTAGTATTGGAGGTACCTAGTATTGGAGGTAACTAGTATTGGAGGTAACTAGTATCGGAGGTAACTAGAATTGAAGGTCACTAGTATTGAAGGTAACTACTATTGGAGGTAACTAGTATTGGAGGTAACTACTATTGGAGGTAACTAGTATTGGAGGTAACTACTATTGGAGGTAACTAGTATTGGAGATACCTATTATTGGAGGTAACTAGTATTGGAGATACCTAGTATTGGAGGTAACTAGTATCGGAGGTAACTAGTATTGGAGGTACCTAGTATTGGAGGTAACTAGTATCGGAGGTAACTAGTATCGGAGGTAACTAGAATTGAAGGTCACTAGTATTGAAGGTAACTACTATTGGAGGTAACTAGTATTGGAGGTAACTACTATTGGAGGTAACTAGTACTGGAGGTAACTACTATTGGAGGTAACTAGTATTGGAGATACCTATTATTGGAGGTAACTAGTATTGGAGATACCTAGTATTGGAGGTACCTAGTATTGGAAGTAACTAGTATTGGAGATACCTAGTATTGGAGGTAACTAGTATCGGAGGTAACTAGAATTGACGGTCACCAGTATTGGAGGTAACTAGTATTGGAGGTTACTAGTATCGGTGGTAATCAGTATCAGAGATAACTGGTATCGGAGGTAACTAGAATTAAAGGTCACTATTATTAAAGGTAACTAATATTAGAGGTACCTAGTATTGGAGGTAACTAGTATTGGAGGTAACTAGAATTGAAGGTCACTAGTATTGGAGGTAACTACTATTGGAGGTAACTAGTATTGGAGGTACCTAGTATTGGAGGTAACCAGTATCGGAGATAACTGGTATCGGAGGTAACTAGAATTAAGGGTCACTATTATTAGAGGTAACTAGTATATTATTTAAGATAAACTGAAGAATTATATTTCACGTAGAATAAATTATTGATCCAGCAAAATCCATGAAGAATATATTCATATTGTAATAGTATAATTGGGTTTGTCCATGAATCACGTGAGGCTTGAAAGGGTGAGGGGGGGTGATAAAAATCAATAAAAAAAATAGAGTGCAGTAAGATATCAAGTGTATTTTTATCATGGTTCTTAATTTCAGAAAATTATATAAGATTATAGTTTATACCTGAGGGGCGGGGGGAGGGGAGATCTGTCATAAACCTCATTAAGTCTCACCTAGGGGAGGGGTGGGGAGGGGGGGAGATCTGTCCTAAACCTCACTATATCGGTGTGTCCCCCACACATTGGGTTAAAATGCTAAAAAAATTATCACGTGGTTCATGGACGGCCCCCATTGATGTTTTACCTAAGTATTAATCGCACGCTTTTCTTAATCGACTATCAAAAGAAGATATCTTTAAGACAACAAATTGTCATAAAGATATCTTCTTTTAGCAATATACATTCGCACGGCACGTGTGAACACGTGGTCTTCAATTCTGTGCCTTTAGTGAGAAAGGTGTTACATCAAAATTGCTACTTCCCAGGAGAGCAAAAATATTATTTAGGTACTTTTAAAAAATACTGCCTTTACTAATATATAATAATAAGATACGTCTATAATTTCCGTCATAAAATATATCCAAATTATATATAAATTCACAAAAATATATATATTTTTGTGAATTTATATTTATTTTGTGTATAACTTACACATATTGAAATAATTGAATAAAATAAATATATTAGTGATTATGTGAGTGGTTCTAAGTTAATTTGTAACTATTTCATATCCCTATTGTCAATACTCTTATTGAAGAGATATTTATAATGTAAAAAATATAATAATTGCAAATTACATCTTTCCCAATTAGATTACATTTTCGAATTCACTTTCATTTAGACGTCTAGTCTAGCAAATTGTAATCCGCTATTTGAATTATACTTCTAACTCTATTAACATATTCTAAATATAAAAATATTTTTTTAAATTAATCAGTTTCTATTTTGATTTAAGAAAAGGTATAAGTATTTTGTTACAGTTGTTATTATATTTAAGTGAAACCACTTAATATTAAAAACGACATATGTACGTTTATAAATTTAAAATGATACATTTCCTAATTAGAAAACAATATTATTACTTAAAATAGACGTATTTAGGTCTAGGTACAAATATAGAATTTATTCATGTTTAAAAAGTTTTTAGAGATATTCACTTATAACACTATTTATTCTAAAATAGTCGTTAGATTTCAAAGTTATTCTTTATCACAAATATTTTAGATTTAGTTATGTTACGTTATGAATTCATATAAAAAAATAAGGGATCTCAGTTAAAAGTAACTAAACTAACTAAAGTTATTCCCTTCTTCACTAGAAGCACAGATTTGGCTATTAAGTGTCTTGTAATATGTTAATTACTATATTACAAGACGAGATTAAATATCTATATTTATATAACACAAATATAATTTTAAAAATATCTTTATTGATTACAGCATTTATATGAGAGAATAAGTTAAGAATTCTACTATAATAACATTTACTCGTTGACGTAATTTCAATAAAAATTTAGAACAAAGAACATTAAGTCTGTTTAAAAATGAATAAAATCATTTACAATATATTTATAATTATTTTAGGATCTTATAAATGCTATATATTCAATAACAGCAACAGGAACATAATCTATACGGTTAGAAAAAGTTGATTAAACAAATTAAGACATATTAATATAAAACTTGATACTTCACGGATAGCATGATTAAATTGGTATTAAATTATAGTCTACCTGAACAATACGTTTTTAATTTATTACGAAATGATCGCACCATTAGTGACTGTAAAATAGGAAAATATTGAAAATGCTTTATTGTTTTATTAAACTATCGTCACTTATTCAAATTACCACCTGTGTTAATATTAATATAATAACTGAATTAAATAAGTGTAATTGAAACATAAGTGTTATCCATGTAGCCGGCAAGCATTCTTAAAACAACAAGTTAATGGTGCGACATTTGCGTTAGTTAAACGAGTAGCATAAAAAGTGCTATTAAATATTACGAACTAATAAATTAGAATTGAGAAATAAAATATAAAAGAACTTACACTTTTGGTGGCTGCAGTTTCAGAAAAGTGCTGAGACGTGTGTTCCACTCGACGAGCAAATGGAGACTGAAGTTGGCCGGGGTCTGGGGAGTTGAGCCGGTTGTCACTCCGTAGTTACCGCCCACTGATGCTGCAGCGATATATTCAGAATCGGACAATTGCATTTAGTCTAATATTTTAAATTATAAATCACACAAAATTATATCTAATGAGTTCTAAATCATTAATTATTCTGACACTAAACTTCTAATAAATCAATGTTATGACCGTAATAAGAAAAGATAATTTTTAGTTTGTTCTTTTAAGGAAAAGGGTCTTCCCATGACCCGTATACAATAGATTAGAATAAGTCTTACTTGCTTATCTGTTTACTGATAAAATATATGTAAATATAGAAATATTACCAGTCATTTGTCCAGTAGAAATGTATCTGATAAATAATAATAGAAATAAAACAATTCTCAACAATGAAACTATTAAATGCTACAAATGCGATTAGGTAGTAGCATAATCATAACAGCATTGACAGATCTTTTTAAAGCCAAATTGACGGAAAGAAAAGATCGGACGAAGACGGAAAAATCTCTTAAAGATTACTCAAAATTTGCTTCTTTTTGGACCGGTTATTTTTATGCACGTTCCTTTATTTTTTATTATGTACTAGCTACACGCCACGGCTTTAAATAGGTGTACGTGTATGTAACCTTCATCTTGAATAACTCTAATCTTTTAAGAAACCGCTTCAAAATCCGTTGCGTAGTTTTAAGGAT